GCAAAATTTTCCTGGCACCTACGAGTTAGAACTTCTATTTCCCCCAGAAACGGAATAAATGGTGGCCAGGGTTAAGAGTCATATTAAAAGTGAAACAAGCACTCATCTGGGAGGTTGTCACTGGAAAATGAGTTCCAAAAAGCAGCATACAATTTCTAATACAATTTCTAATACAATTCTTTTCACCTCAGTGATTGGTGACAGCCTTCTCTTTACTCAGCAATCAAAAGATTACATCCATGTGAATTTCAAAGAGTAACAAATTCTGGTTTGAAATATGTACATTATTAAAAATCTTACCCAAACTGTACTTATTCAAACTGTAAAAGCTGGAAGGGATCAGAGAAAAGAGTCCAAGCCTCTCATTTTCCAAATGAGGAAACTAAGGCTCAAGACCACACAGGCAGTTTGGCAGGCCTAGGAGTAGAACACAAACTGAACCCCAAATATAGGGTTCTTTCTGGTGTGAAGAGATAAATGCTGTCCAAGTAAGACATTGCCCTAGTAAGTAGGGCTGAGCATTTCTAAAGTGGCAGGCTCTCACTCCAACCATACCTATGACCAGTGTTAAGGTTCATTTTTTCCCCTTTTTAATCCAAATCCATGACCCTGGAAGAACATCACCAAACCACGAAAAGCAGTATTTTGACATCATGCCAATACAGTCCAACATATCACATCCAAAACACAACCTTCTGTCTAGCAGGGCCACCCTTCATCTCCAGGGGCCACGCCACCTACCACACCCTACTCTACTTTTATCTGCCCAGCCACCAGTCTGTTTCTGAGTTATTTCCCAAGCCTTCTGCATAAAAACAAGCTTGCTTGTCCAATCCTCTAGGCTTCTGACCAGTCTTTACACTTCTATTCAGTACACGCAATAATAAATTCCTGCTACATGCAAAGATTAGTGGTAACCTGTTCTTTTTCGCAAGGCTCACCTCATGAAGGAAGCCTTCTGTGAGACTGTGGCCTTCAAACTCCCTTAACTGTGAACCACAGTAAGAAATACTTTACATGCAACCTGATACACCCCTGATGTTCACACATACCCTCAAATAACTCAAAAGTTTCACATATTCTCACTATGTATGATAAATTGATATTCTTCATATACTCCATTTCATTTTTTTTTTTAATTTTTTTTTTTTGAGACAGAGTCTCACTCTGTTGCCTGGGCTAGAGTGTCGTGGCATCAGCCTAGCTCACAGCAACCTCAAACTCCCGGGCTGAAGCAATCCTACTGCCTCAGCCTCCCAAGTAGCTGGGACTATAGGCATGTGCCACCATGTCCGGCTAATTTTTTCTGTATATATTTTTAGCTGTCCAATTAATTTCTTTCTGTTTTTGGTAGAGACAGTGTCTCGCTCTTGCTCAGGCTGGTCTCGAACTCCTGAACTCAAAACAATCCACCCGCCTTGGCCTCCCAGAGTACTCTATTTCATTTTTTTTAAAAAGTCCTAGTTGACAAAGAGATATTAGCACTCCAAGGTTCATTGTGGCACTAACAATAGCCAAGATGTGGAGACAATCTAAATGTTCATCAATGAAAGAATGACGAAAATGTGGTACATGCAAGCAATGGAATATTATTCAGGCTTAAAAAAAGGAAATCCTATACATTGACAATTTGGATGAACCTTGAGGACGTTATGTTAAGTGAAATAAACCAGTCACAAAAGGACAAATACTGTTTGATTCCACTTATATGAAATATCTAAAATAGTCAAACTCATAGAATCAGCACAGTGGTGGTTGCCAGGGGCTGGGGGTTGGGGGGGAGAATGAAGAATTGCTAATCGATGAGTACAAAGTTGCGATTACATAAAGTGAATAAGTCCTAGAGATCTGTACAATGTCATCCCTGTAGTTAACAATATCGTATTGTACCCTTAAAAAGTCCTGGTTGGAATCTTCAAAATTTATTTCTCAACCCACTAATGGATCATGACCTGAAGTTTGAAAACTAATGCTCTCTTGTGAAAGGGTGATTAGATTACTTTGACATAATGCTACAGGAATAATTACAGGCATCATCAAATACTCAGGCACCGGATTTCCCCAGACAACATCACACCTTCTCTCTGTCCATAAGAAAGGTAAAGATATCACAATGGAGAATTAGTATCTGCATCCCACAGGTCAAGGGTGAGAGAACTGAGGGGAGACCAATGGTTCACTTAAGTGCCATTTCAGAGGAAAAAGCAGGGTGGGGCTTCTTTATTTCTAATCACCTGGGCAGTCCTCACAATCTTAATTCTTCCCTTTGTGTCAGGCTGCCTAATTCCAACTGGACTGTTGACACTTGAAGGCAGGAATGTTATTCTTCTCAAAAATTCTACACTCTACCTAGAGACATCATTAAAGCACAATTTGAAGTAATAAATGAGATTTTTTTTTCATCTAAGACAACTTTCCTACCTCATGGTTTCTGTTAAGCAGTAAGCTCCTCACTCCAAGGACATTGATATGTTGGGGGGAAAAAAAGCAAAGGAAGATGTGGTAAAGAAAAAAACCTAGGAGGATAGAAAGGATACATCATAAAATAATTAGCAAAATGCTGGTAAAAGAGAAAGCATCTCAAGTCAAGTTTTAAAATTCAATTTATATCTTTGTATTTCATTTATGATACAGAATATTTGGAACAAGAAATCGAAGACGCAGTCTCAACAGACACTAACGAAAGTTTTCACCAAACATCTTTGACACATTTTAACGTAAGAGCAGTGCTATCCAATCGACTATTAGAGTCTTAATACAACTCAAATCTAATTCTCCACAGATCTGCCCAGTATAATCTTTTCAAGAAGTGTTATCACCTGGCTGAAATGCTGGGCCCAAGTGTCTCCCTTATAGATGCACAATACAAGTTTGAATTACGGCCACTCTTTCCCATTCCCCCTGATCTTTGGGAGTGGGGAGAGGAGGCAATCCCATTACAAACCTTCCCTCCATGGAAGCCTGTCCAAGTGCTTCAAGGCCCTGCTCTTCAGCTCTTCTCACTTCGGTTTATGCAACTACAAGTTACTTAAAACAGGAGTTCTAAATGGTCTTCTTGCCAATAGGAGAAACATTTTTTAAAAGGATAAGACTAAGGATTCCTGGAGGGTCCTGCATGAATACAGCAAAAGGGCCAAAGATGGATAGGCCTGAGGGGTCTACAGTGACTTGCCATGCTACAACTGTGCTGCAAGTCTCCTGTTGACGTAGTTCTATCTGGGACAATGACTACCAAAGACATTGTCTTTTTTTTTTTTTTAGGTAGACCTAGATGAATGTCAAGACAGGCACAAAATTTTACCTTTGAATTGCTCAAGAATGACTAGCTATCTTACAGTAGGAATCTTTTTTTCTTTTTTTGAGACAGAGTCTCACTCCATCGCCCTGAGTGCTGTGGCATCAGTTTGGCTCACAGCAACCTCAAACTCCTGGGCTCAAGTGATCCTCCAAGTAGCTGGGACTACCGGGCACACCACGATGCCTGGCTAATTTCTCTATTTTTAGTAGAGACGGGTCTTGCTCTTGCTCAGGCTGGTCTTAAACTCCTGAGCTCAAGCAATTCTCCCACCTTGGCCTCCTAGAGTGCTAGGATTACAGGTGTCAGCCACCGCACCCGGCCCAGTAGGAACCTTAAAAGGCAGTTCACTCACTCATGCCACAAGTATGATGCCCACTATACCAGGCACAAGGCTAGACCCTAGGGAAACAGAAGTGAACAAGAAGCATAACGTCCTTTTCCTTCTTGGGGTTACCTATTCCTGTGAGTGACACACAATACACAAATGAACGTATAAAATGCCAGATGCTGTAAAGGAACAATGAACTTCTGACTAAAACTGAAAAATTATCACCAAACATGCTGTGTCCTTTTTCTGTCCAAAGAAGTGTGACAAACCACTTCAGCAGAAATGTGAATTACTAGTCATTATACTTTCCTAATTTAAAACAGCACATTTTCTTCAGTTGTAGGAGGCAGAATTATTTTCCAATCTGGAAATTAAAACACCTAACTTTTTGCAAGGAGATGTTCTGCACTGGTGTAGCAGCACCTCGAGGCTTAGGCCAAGAGTGATAACAACACTGACCGGAAGATAAACTATTTACACAGGTGGCAAGTCATCTAAGGCAACAGCTAACAACATGAAAAACAGATGGGCCTCTCAAGAAGTAAGTTAATTAGGGCATTTACACGTGATTTTCAAAAACAAGAAGAGAGCAGAACAGACTTAACAGTTTTAACATTGCTGCTTTCCAGATCATTCCAATAAACAATGGTTCGACATACTGATAACCCACAGACATTTCATCTCCAGGCAGAACACAGGTGGAAATACTGATTTGTAAAGTTTAGATGCTAGATCTAGGCAATGGAAAGGCACAAACAAATCCTAAGTTTGAAGCTCTAAGTATTCCTGTTTAGAACTAAACAGGATCAGGAAGGCTCCCCCTCACATAGAAAAATTGAGCCGTAATTTATTTGCTTCAATTTATAGCTATAAAGTGGAAGGGTGACGGAGGAGAAGTCGGAGAGGTTTAAGACACCTTCGTGAGAAGAGTGCAGAAGCGGACATCCTGAAGACCTGATTTCTAATAGCAACAGGCCCACCAAGACAACTTAGTCTCTTTCACATTAATCGCAAGAGCGAATTTTGAGACCCGACGGGTACCGGTAGTTACCGATCTGCAACTAGATTAAAAATTCGCAGCACCTAATGTCACTTTTTCCTGCTCACGCCCTCTCAGCGCCCAATCCGCGTTTAGTGAGTGAAGGAGAAAACTCAGAAGAATGAATGAACGAGAGAGAAAAGTGTGGCCAAGAGGCTCAGAGCAGGGCCCCCAAAGTCTGGACGGCCCTCGACGTTGACCCGGGCTAGGAGGGGACCCCCGCGGCGCAGTGCAGGGCGCGGACCGCGATGTGGCCCGAGGCGCAGGTCCAGACAAAGGCGGCGCGGGTGGCCTGACAGGGGCGGCCGGCGGAGGAGGGGGCCGCGGGCGCTCACCTCATCGCCCCACTTGAGAACGTCCTTGTGCCGGTCCTTGACGGCGTGGTAGATGTGCAGGAACTGGAGGATCCCGTGCCGCCGCACGTGGTCGGCGTGGCGCTTGGTCTCCTCCCAGCTCAGCGGCGACCCCTGGGACAGCAGCCCCATGGCCGCCGCCGCCTCCTTCTCCTCCTCCTCCTCCTCCTCTGGACTGACGGCGGCTGCTCGCTCTGGGCGCGAGCCGGACACTCAGCCACCCGCAGAAAGCGGCGGCTGCTCCACCCCGGAGGGGCGCCCACGGGCCGCAGCCGGCGGAGGGAGGGTTCCGTCCGCTCCGGCTCCCCGGCGCTGGGGGTCCCTGGCGCCCAGGTGACAGACCCGGGGTCCGGTGCACCGCGCGGACACAGAGGCAAAAGACGTGAGCGCAGGCTGGGCGGCTCTCGGCCCGGCGGCCTCACCCCTCGCCCGCTTCGGCTCCCGCCCTGCTCCTGCGCCGAGGCGGCGGCAACGAACCCCACCGCCGCGGCCCGGCGGCGGCTCCCGCTTCTCTTTGCCGGTGTCGTGCACTGCCTTCTTCCTACTTGTGACCAAAACCTGCGCCGCCGCAGAGCATGCCCAGTCCCGGCCTCCACTCCCTCGCCGCTCCGGGGCACGATCCGTCGCTCCGGATTTTATAGACTACGGGCGGGGGCGGGGAAAGGAGGCGGTGTGCAATGGGAGGCGTGGCCGAGAGCCGCCGGAGCCGGAGCGCGCGGAGGGAGGTGTGCGCAGGCGTGGTCGGGGCGGAGCCAAGGAGGGGCACTCGGGGAAGCCGGGTGAAGTCGGCCTCGCGTTAAGCAAAGGCGACTTGTAGAAATCCGTTTTTTCTAATCGAGAGAGATACTCCGGGTTAAGGAAGAAAGTTGATTATTTGAGTTAATGAAAATCCCACCATATATTTTAGGTGGAATAGGCCTCACACTTATGAAATCAGACTGAAAGCGGCAGAATGGGTTGAGAAAAATACTAACTTGGGAGTCAGATGAAACACACGTTCAACTCAAGGTTCCACCACTTACTGTGGGACTTTGGGCAAGTTCTTTCCATATCTGCATTAATCCTGTCTTTTACGGATGTTGTAAGGATGTGTATAGTGTTGATGGTCAATAAATTGACCTGGTTATTAAGAGGAATCAATTTGTCCATGTGTGTTTTATTTGTTATTCTCTAAATATTTGATGACGGATGTTCTCAGAATGGCACAGACACTATTCGTTGCAACAAAAGGGACTTTGTCAACATTTCCTCCTCCATCCGAACCGAAGATTCATCCATTAAGTGATCAAAATGATGTTCACTCGAGCTAGCCATGGGGGTAGAAGATACTAGGAATACCCAGAGATGGCCTTATCTTGGAGACAAAGGGAGGGAAGGAGGTACCTTGGCCCCAAGTAATTGTTCGACAAATGTGTTGACAGAGCGATGACATGACAAGTTGGGAAAAGTGACATCAACTAGATCATACATGTACTGAGAACAGAAAGTGTGTAAATGGCCCCTTCCCTCGCACTACAGAGTTAACATTTGGTAAGCACTTATTAATTGCTGAACGAAACATGATAGTAGGGGTCTCTTCGCCCACATCCTTCATATTGCATGTGTTCATCCCAGGGCTTGGGGATACGGATACTCAAGGTCTGGCTGTGATTTCCACAGTGGGGTGTGTGTATGTATGTGTGTTTGTGTGTGTGTTGGGGCGGGAGAGGGGGGTTGAAGCTCAAGAGATGATGTTTCAATCCCCAGCACACAGCAGGGATAGAAGCCAAGCCAATTTTATTTCATTCTAATTTTTCCACAGCCTAATCAACAACTTCAGCTACTTCCCCCACCCTCCTTGTGCCCTCTCACCGGACCTTAGCAGGTCCTGGCTCTCTGCTGTTTTTTCTGCTTGGAATTCTCTACCTGACACACTCCTGTTTATCCTTTGAATCCCAGTTATTCCTCTCTGTATTTTGGTTGCCTTTGCACATTAAAAATAGAATCCTTTTAAAAAAAATCTTCCAATAGGTAGTCACTTCCTCTGGGATTGAGATGATTCGCATCTTTTGTACTTTTAACTCTAGAAAAGTGCTTGGCATACAGTAGGTGCTTAATAAATGTTAGCTTCTCTGTGGAAAGCAGAAGATGCAGAGAAAGCGTTTCACATGCAGGTAAGACATCCAAAGGATCATTTGGTTATGCTCATAATTTCATCTCACAGTTTCACAGACCTGCATTGCTCAACGTGATAGCCATCACCAACACGAGGCTATTGAGCATGTGAAATGTGGCTAACATGACTGAGAAACTGAATTTTTAGTTTCATTTTATCAATTTAAACATAAATTTAAAAACCGATACTCCATTTGGTTATTGGAAAACTTTTAACTAAATTTGGAACAAGTTGGGAAAGTGAATCCACTTTTTCAACTGTTAATTTTATAAAATCTAATTACAGATCTAGTATTACCCATGAAAATTTAGTGGTCCAGGAAATGTGCTATGAGTGTAGTACACTGGATTCCAAGACTTAGTACAAAAAAAAAATGTAAATATCTCATCAAAAATTTTATATTGATTACATGTTGATATCATAATATTTCGGACATTTTGAGTTAAATATGACGTGGCATGTTATTTAAATTAATTCACCTGTTGCTTTTAAATTTTTAAAGGTGGTTACTGGAAAATTTAAGATTAGACACATGGCCCATATTCCACTTTATTGAAACAGCGCTGATGTAGACCCTGAGTTACACTTTGCAAAATACACTTTTCCCTTACACATGCTGCCTTTCCTCACAGCGATACTGCGAAGCCCGTATCTTAGATAGAGGGAGAGGTGCCAGCTTCATTTGAATACAGAAACGTGGACACGGGCGGTAGGAGATAAAGTTCTAGTCTAGCCAAAGCCCTACACGATACTAAACGTAGTGAGAGTTGAACACCATATTTTGAGTTCCTCTGCTCCAGATTCCGGTTCACACTCACATACGGGGTGCCTCTCCCACCTTACCCCCGAATTCTGAACCAGCACCCCCAGCGAGGGTCCCAGGCCTTTGGACAATCCCAAACCAGGTGCAGTCACTGTTGCACCACAAGGCCCTTATGCCAAATTAAACCATGATCACCTCAGTGCCTTTATCGATTCTGTTACAAGGAAAAAACAAAATCCCCGACACGGATCTATGGAAGTCAAGTTCAATCACTGTCATTTCCCTCTAGCAGACAGTGTTTTGCCTTCGTAGGTCTATTTCTCCACCTCATTCTGTAGACTGCACCCAGGGCCGGGTTTCGACCTCTGGAAGTGGGTTTTCAGCGGACAGCCCCATCAGGGCTTTAACATTACTAAAGGGAAAAGGAGGAGGTCCTCTCTTGCAGCATTAGCTCTTGTCTAGGCAGATTCTTTGCTTCCGCGGAAAAACGCGAGGACTCGCCCGGCCGAAATCCATCTCAGCCCAGTGGCTGTCTGGCACCGCATCCTCGCCTCCCAGCACCGCGGACTAACGCACGATCTGCCCGCAGGGCCGCCCGGAAAACGTGGAGCGGGGCAACTGGGGACGCGGTGCGGTCGCGGGGCCGAGCTGAGCATGCTCGGAGAGCAGCTCTGTCGCGGGAAGAAGCGGCGTGGGCCGCGGGCGCTGCACGCCGCGCCGTTGTTATGATCCAGCCCTCGCCACGTGACCGCGCTGACCCCGCCCCTCGGCGCTGGTACCGCCTCCCCGTGACTCAGCACTTTGTGTGGACTCTGCGCAGAGGTCAATCCCCGTGAGGCTGCTCCGGGGCAAAGTCTCAGTCGGTCCTTGCTGACCTCCGGGCTGCTGCTGCTGGGATTGTAGCAGACATTTCAGACACGCCGGGTTTCTGGCCTCCACGCAAGGAGGAAAAAATGTTTCCCTGTGGTCACGCCGTTCTTAGTTTACCCTGAGTCAGCGGCTTTGCGAGATCAAATGAGGAAAGCAGAGGGGTATCGCGTAGGGAACTTTTTAAGGAAGGCACTTGTCATTCGCCCCTTCCTTTACTGCACTCTGGCCTGAGTATCACTTGTCCTCGATAGTCTCTCCGGTAGGTCTCAGTAGGTTACTCTGTGTGGCGCACTTGCCAGGCACTTTGAACTGGAATGCACAGAACAGACCTGGTTGTTGCAACGTTTTATAGAGATCCAGCTGAGATCCAGTAATGCTAAGTAACAGTAACTACGCTGAGGTCTGAACTCTAATGCGATTTTAAAGGCTGTGCGCTTTCTACTACACCACACAGCATGTGTGAAGCTGATGGCCACCTTCAGTGGGACTCTGCTGGGACTTGGTACCACCTCTATTACAGCCCCCCTCCTTTGACGCTAGCTTTCCTCAAAACCCTCGGATCTGCCTGTGAAGTGCTTAAAATTTTGTCTCTTAAGTTTCCTAATCAGTGAAACAGTTATTTAACTTAAGTGTACATGGATGAAGTATAAAAGATATAGAAGGGGTTTTCTCCCTACAATTGAATTACACTTGGAATTTGATTTGCTTATATTCGAGAAGGTCCCCAGGTGCTTTTTAGCAGAAGAGCAGTAACTAGGAGATTGGGGGTTTCACCCCGGCTTGGAGGGTCACCTGCTAGGTCAATCTAAGCAAAGTTGTGTTTATCATCAGGGGACCACTTCATTTTGATCTGTTCAAATGAAAGTCTAGAGGAGATGAGGTTTCCCTTCCAGCCTAAACATTCTCTGATATAATTACTAAAATTAGTCCAAAAAGTACAAATCGATTTATAGTGTGTGTATTTCTAACACATGCACTATTGTCATTAAGTTAAAAAAGCAAAGAACCTCTTTTAACTTTTTAAATCTGATTTTTAGTTCATATGGATTTTTGAAAAATATGAATGTGCTTATTTTCATTCAGAATTTAAAAAAAAAGGTCTGTGAAGTCAAGTGAAGACCTTTTATAAGATGGAGAAGCTTGAGTATGCTAAAGAAGGTGGATAGGAGTCAACAGGGGGCAAGATTGAAGATGTGGAAGGGAGAAAGGATGCCTTTAACAGCAGCATCTCTCAGGATACATGACTTGATGGGCTCCAGAACACATGGGAAGTGGTGGGCTTTTTTCCAGAACAGTTTTATTGTCTTCCTGTAAGATGCTAAGGAAGAAAATAAGGATGCCAAGATGATGTGTTGGAACGGGATGGTGATAGCTGAGTCCAGTAGATTCACTCTTCTCACTGGAGTATGGCTAAAGAAAACAACTTTTTATTATGAACACAAAAGTAGAGAACACAGTATAATGACTCTTCATATATATATTATCCTCCTTTGTTATGTTACAGTTATTTACCTCTCAGTTTAAAGCAAATCGGAGTGGATCTCAGGTAGTGAAGGCTGTAAGTGAGGGTTGAAGAAAGAAAGAAAGGAATGTAGAAGGTGGTTTGAGCAGTTGATATCCAGGAAGATGGAAAGGAATGAACTAATTAATCCTTTACTAGAAATCAATTTCCTTCATCCTGAAATTGGAGATAGTGGTAGCCGTTACCCAGTTGTTTTCATTCCAAATTAGCTAGCTATTGTTGTTCCAAATTATGGGACT